AAAGGATGCTGCTACGCCTTGCTCCTGTGCGATGCCAAGTGTGTGAGACATGGCTCCTGCTCCGTGTCGCTTCCGATACGTATGCCTTACCTGCCCCTTGCATGTTCTCAGCCTGACAACTATACACACGACCTATCACCTCCTTCAAAGTGAGACGGAAGGCTGATCACAGCGCCCGTCTACGCATCGCAAGCCCTCGGCAGCAAGTCCACAAAGCACGAACGAATCTTTTGCTGCTTTCGTGAGGAGAGGCAACTCGCTCGCGCTCGAGTTGCAGTAGTACAGCAGTACGGCGGATCTGCTGCAGACTCATGCAGACTTATGCAGACTGTGCTGCAGCCACCTCGTAGCGGGCACCCATGCACACACCTGCTGTGCAGCTTCGAGTGTCCCAAAGCCCCGCCCATCGTTGTGCGGGTCGGTCCGCTGATGTTCACCAAGCAGCAAATCAAGGTCCGACTTCTTGATGCACCCCGCAATTTTGCTTCCCCATCGCGACACCGAGCACTCGGCACTCGAGCAGCGGCATCCGGCACCCACTCGACGATTTGTACTGTACTGTATGTACACTTTTAGCGCGCATCGGCAATTTGACGGGAAAGCGTTTCGCTAGCGTTCCTAAGACAAGCCTTGAGAGTATTGACGTGACGATGCACTTTTCCCCACCAAAGCAGCAGGCGAGACAGCCCTCAGTCCTCGATGCAAAGAGCCCAGAATACACAAACAGCAATCGTTTGACCTGGCGGGAGGCCAATGTCCGAGTCCTTCTCAATCGTCCTGCTCCGCGCTCTGACTGCACAACGCTAGTCGCAGTAGAGTTGGGAGCCCAAGCTTGGAGCGCCGGTCAAGTTTTACTGCTGAGCTGCTGTGGGACTAGGCAGAGTAGTGTGCTGCATGCATAATAGCACGGTCCCGATGGTCCTACATCCCAAACGAGTCAGCCCGTTGCGTGCGCTTCGGACTTTCCCAGCAGCAGCGTTCGCCGACTCGTCCATGTACTGTACATGGTCAGTCACTATAGGCAAGTGCCTTGATTTTTTGATCATTCGATTGTGACTCTTGGGACGATTCTTGCACAAAAGCCGGCCATCTTTCTCATTCATCATCCCCACCATAGCGTCCAAACGTCCTTTGAGCTGCTGCCATCCTCGCCATCCCTCTCACCTTGTCATTGCACACCTGTTCAGAAAGACCGCAGACTATCCGGTTCACTTTTGGACCGCCATTCCAGGCCGCTGCGCCACCGTTTGCCTCAGCCACAGCACTCTCTTTCAAAGTCCGCAGAGCAGACTCACGACTCTTTTTCTTCTTCGGCCTAAATACATGTTGCAGTAGCAACGCAACAAATCAGGGATTGCTTCAAGAAGCAGAAGCTGCTACTCGACGTCTATCGGTCTTGCTTGTACCTCATCACCTTCCATCGATTGCTTCGGCCCAGAGCTTCTGCGAGGGCTTCGATTGGCGTGAAAGGATTGCAAGTCAGTCATGCGCCAAGACGCTAGCTGAGCACAACCTCCTCGCAACATCAAGACTACTCCATCTTGACTGGAGTGTTTCTCATTCAGACATACCATCCTCAGTGCTCTTGTCGAAAGTCGTGGGAGATCATGGATGCCTCCGCGCTCTTCGACAGCCTTTCCCAGGCGGAGGCTTATCCCATTGCGCCATCAGATGCCTTCGATGCTCGCTACGCATTGTTGCCTCCTCCGCCACCCATCTACCTCTCCGGTCTCACTCCTGCTGGCCAGCGAGGCCGGCTGCCCGACTTTGACTCGACCCCCTTTCCAGCAGTAGCAGCGCGAGCTTGGGCCCGACGGATGTTTTTTTTCCACCTCGAACGAGCGTGGCCTCACCTATACTTTACGACCGCCTGCATTGCCTTGCTCGTCCTCATCGTCGGAGCCATCTGGGCAAGAAGAATATGGGAAAGAAGCTGGTGGCTGCTGAGGGTAGTCAAGAAACCCAATGGAACCTTGATCGTGCCAAATAGTCTCATCACGTACACTACATGCACCGGTGCCTTTGGCGTCCTACTGATTGCTTGGTGAGTCTTATACGCAAGGACCCGCTTCCGTCGTGTTTTCTTCAGTTCTTTTCATTTTGGCTGCCGACGGCGTGCTGACCGGTCACGGCTTCCCTATGTACTCACACAGGATTTGGGAACTTTACGAATGGAACGTGAATGATCAAAGGCCAGCATTGTGGGTGCCTTGGATCCTTCTGGTGTGGACGCCTCTGTTTTCGGCCGTCCACCTGGCCAGTTGGGGACTCTTCCATAGTCTGCCAAACGTCTTCACCACGTCAGCCTCTGGAGACGTGTCTGCCAAGCATCGCAGCTGGGTGTTTAGGTGCATGACACGACCGGCCACCCTAAACTTCTTGGGGGGCATATTGCCGTTCTTCCAGGCGCTGAGTGTGATTGCACCTACCATTGTTGCTCATGTCCAGTACATGCGAGCTCTGAACGAGTACTATCGATGGGAACGGGAATATGCTAACGCGACTCAAGTGGATCAGCAAATGCTACAAGACGTTCAGCGCATCTGGTACACCTTCCTGGACAGCGCAAAAATCATGTCGATTGTATTCCTCATCTGGACCATCTGGGCCGTCATGCTCTTTGTGGTTTGGTCTATCCTCAACTATAGACTGATGAACGTGATCTCAGCTCAGCTCAAGCATATTCGTCAACTTGGCCGACGACAGGCCGAGCAAGCTGCCACAATCCAAGCGCGCAAGCAAGCTACCAGTGTAGCTCCCGAGCAGCCGGCGGATCGTGGGGCAGATGAAGCTGGACAAGACCTCGGGGGCCGAGGTGTCATGTTTGGCAGCAAAGCAGACGACGTCATCAAGGAAGAGTACGACGGAACCTTTAACAAGACAGAGTCGGACGCTCTTGCAAGTGACCACGGCGACGCAGCTTTGAATGGCAAAGAGGATCCAGTCTCGCCGGTTGGTAATGGCGATTCGGATGTGGAGGGGCAGCACCGCTGGCGCACTAGATTGCGGGGTGGACTGCCGCCTTACAGTAGACGCGGAAGTGCTCTCTTGCCCAATGCACGAGGCGAGAGCGAGGAAGATGAAAACTTCACTGCGGCACAAATCGCCGCCGATGAGCCCACGACTACCTTCTTCCCGCCCGTGCGGCCGTCGCGCATCGTCAGGCGGCAGGCCCCTCGCGTTCACGGTCGCACTTCGCAAGGCAACACCAAAGCGCAGCGGTACTTGCGCTCGGTGCTCATTCATGTGGCTATCCAAGCTGTTGCAGTAACACCAGCCATCCTTGGCTTTGCATCCCTTGCGTGCTGGCTTTGCGTGCAGACGTATAATTCCTTCGAGAATGCCGACTTGCACTTTGATCGCACAGCGAGTACCGCTCTCATATGGATGGCGTGGATGGCCAACATTGGAGGCACCATTACTCTCGTCGCGATCGCACAAAGGACCTATGAGCCTGTCCTTCACTTTGGTCTGGCGCATGCTGGCGGCTCCGGCTCGCATTCTTCTGGTGCCAAGCGCCAGGCTGCAAAGTCGTTGGAAGGCAGCAAAGGAAGCAAGGGCCGTCGAATGAGGAATGGAAGACCGATCAGTAGGATTATCAACGCGGGCTCTCGCTCCAACGAGAATGACGATGCGCCTGCCGACAATGGTTACGGCGTCACCTACACAACGTTCTTTGAGTCTGAAACCATTCAGCGTCCCGCCAAATCCTTTCCACATGGCGGCTCCGATCTTCGACGCAATGAGTCGGTGTCAAGTTACGGCTCTGCCGTCAATCGATCTGCTGGAAACGAAGATGCTCAAATGCAGCGGAGTGAAAGCCGAGATAGGGCAGCTGCTGCAGCTGTCGGTCTTGGCATCGGGACTGCGGGCTCCATGCCTTCCTTCAACCAACGCTCACCGGTCCAGCCTGCAAATAAAAAGTCGATTGCGAGGTTCGCGGCGACACCTCTGCCTGCTACGCCTTCCCAGGTGCACGCAGATGGCGCACGCGCGAGACAAGGCTCTCACAGCCAGGATGCCCAAGAAGGGACAGAGTTGCGCGACATGTCACCTCGTAGCGCAAGCGCGCCACGCTCGCCGCGCGACTTGCCTGTTCACACTGGTCGACACGGGCCATCGTCGAGCAACGCGTCGCTTTCAAGGACAGGTTCAAGTGGGACAAAGTATGCGTCTCGCGCGGATCCCCGTTCGCAGAGTCCTGTTCTGCAAGTCCAGCGAACGGTGGATACGCACACTGCGATGCGCTCTGCTGATCCTCAGCATGGGCGCCGCCAACGAGGCTCCGGTTCCTTGGAACTCAACACGGAAGGCGGCGATGTCAACACCAGCGACGACGATGCTGACGGCACCTCTTATTGGGGATCAAGGCGGCCTTCAAATCCTTCGACCGACGCTCTCGGGCAGCACGCTGGCTCGCGATACTTTGCAAGCGAACGCAGAAGTAGTGCTGCCAGCCGGACAGCTGGCAGTAGCTCGGGCCATGCTCCCAATCTCAGTGGCGCCCCTTATGTTGTAGGAGGTGCTTCGGCTCCTAGGTCGAAGCACATTGCCACTTTGGCCCAAAGGCCTGGATCTACTTCATCACGCCTGTCTGACGTCAACGACCCGCCTGCGCCTCTGCAGACGGGCCTCGTTCCGGCGCCGCGTCGCAGGGCGCCTGGACGTCCATCGAGTGCTCGTCGTGTCCCTTCATCGGACAGCGCTAGTCAGCTGCACGCCTCATCTCCTCATCCCCTCAGTCCCACCTCGGTGCCCGGTGTGCCGGAGCACCCATCAGGCTCAGTGCAAGACGTTCCTGGACGAGACATTTCGACGCTCGAACCAGTCTCACAAGTCGCTCGTCAAGCGCCGCATTCTAGCCCCACCTTTGGTCTGCTCACGCCTCATGACGCGGCATCGGAGAATACTGCCGAACACCCACGTTCCGACCATTCTCGTTACTCGCCAACGTCCGTTGCGGGCTCTGAGAGTGCTGCAGGCTACGCTCAGGCATACTGATCTCGCCTTCGCTTCTGCCTGACGAGCCAACGTCATGTCGACATGTCAGAGTCCCGGCTTGAGCGTCCTGCCTCCTATTTCTACATTGTTGTCCGTGCCCCTGCCACTCAACGCTCCGAACATGCTTGGACTGTGTCATCGCCCGCTCTGCTCTGTCACCCTTCGTTCCGTCTTCGTTTTCATGTGTATTGAATCTATTGTGCGGTATCATCAATTTTCTGCAATATCACACCTCACCTCCCAACCATGATCATCAAGTTCGATCCAAAGGCTCACTCGTGCGCCATGATTTATGACCTTGCGACCAAGCAGATCGATGCAAATTCTACCCATGCGCGCCACGCTTGGGTGTGATTTCTTTCCCTTTGTTGATTCTACCACCTCATTTTGAGGGTTTTGGTGGCGAGCATCGGTTTTGCGACCAAGAGCCCCACGGTCAGCGCCACGATGGTCAAGACGAGCTGGGGCTTGTTGAAAGTTGCTATGACGACCAAGCGTCGGATGAGCGGCAAGAGTCAGCTCGAATGCTGAACCGAATGATTGACCAGCGTGAACTCGACTCACGGTTGAGCATGTCAAATGTGCCGCTAGGAGCGATCCTGACGAGGATCCAGTCGAGACCTAGCACGGCGACCAAGCTCGTGCTCTCGATTGCGGCCGGAGCGACCACAAGTCCTTTGGGAGCTTCGATGCGGAACTGACCACCAATGCTGAGTTGCGGCGCATTGGGAACATACGCATCAAAAGTGGACAGACCTTCTTCCAACTCCTCCGAAGTGGGTTTGCGACCGACAGGCCTGCGAGGATCTAAAAGTCTTCGAGGCAAGCTCAACAGATTGCCATTGACGGTAGTCATGAGTAGGGACTTGCTGGTGATTCCAAACTTGGTCTTGGACATTGCCAAGGATGTGATAGCGTGAGGCAAAACGTAGGTCTGCGCAAAAGGTCTGACTCCCTCTGGACCGCCAATCACGGGACTGAAGCTGCTTTTGCTGCCTGTCCAGTCCCACGTCTGATCCCGAGCCGTCTCAGCCTCGTACAGCTCGAGCGACAGCAATCGCGTCTCCGGCTTGAGCGCGATCGTCTTTGCTTTGCTGCCCTTTTCGTCAACCACTTCGTTCTGAGGCTTTGTGCTGACCTCGTGAGCATCGTGACCATTGACCCTGTATGCGACGGTGATCCAATTCTCAGCAAACGCTGCTTGGAGTGAGTCTTGGCCTGCAGCCAGATCGTCGTCGATCAAACGTCGAGAGTAAAGTGTGAGACCACTAGCCGAGTCGATCACATAGACATGAGCCGAGTCGCCCCTCTGAGAATCTGGGCCAGATAGTCGCGTCACAACGACGACTCCGTGCGGATTGAGGTACTTGTACATCGTCTTGCGATTTCCAAGAACTTTACCCTGGCTGGCTATAGGACCATTTGATCCATGTATCAGGTGGACGATCTCCTCGCCCGGCTCAAAGCGCATCTGCCATGCTGGCGCAGACTCGAGCGTTTGGCCGTTAAGTACGACGAAGCCACTCAAGATTGAAGTGTTTTGCCCTGTCGCCTGATCCTGATGAGTCGTGTGCGTGAGGTAGAAGAATTGCTTCGCAATTTTTTCGAAGGCGGCTGCGACGGATGGAGTGCGAGGCCAAAGTACTAACCCATTGTTGGGGTCGATGGCGCCTACCGCTTGCTGTCTGGTGACGTCGTCTTCGAAGGGTAGCAAGAAGACGTCCTTCGCCTTGCCCACAAGCAGCGGAAGGCCGGTCTGCGCAGCGTCCCCAGCAGGAAAGACGCCCGTCAAAGGATCAAGCTCCCACACTCTCGTAAGTGTTGTGCCTTGCTCTTCTACATCAGCAACGATGGTGATCAGAGGTCCAAGGTGGGCAGCCGCATCGGCATTCGCATCTTTGTCAGTGCTGCTATCCTTGGCCAAGTTCGCTCCTCCTACAGGTCTAGTGACACTGAGGAAGCGCACATTGACGATCGGCACAGGCGCTCCTTCGCCAGCTCCAAAACCGACAAGACTCTTTTCCCACACGAATGTCCTCGTATCCGTATCCATGGCGTACACTTTACCGCGTGTCGTAGCGCTCACTAGGACCTTTCTGAAGCCCAGTCTGTCTCGGAAGAGGTGCGCAGTGACGTTGGAATCTGCGGCGCGCGGTGCAAGTGCAGCTGGAGGTGGAGGGCCTTGAGCCAGATGCGCAGGTCGAGCAGCTTTCCCGCCTTGAGGAATACGCGCAGGTCGAGGGATAACCCGACGCCGGGCGTCAGGCACCTCGGCAGCAGCAACGCCTCCCGCTGGGTATCGTTTGAATTGCCGTGTCGTACCATCTTCGCTCGCGGTGGGCTTCGGTGGCGGTGGAGGAGCCCCACGCTGAGCTGCGTAGTGCGAAGTCGCAAAGAGTCGAGGATCTGAGATCAAGCTCTTTAGACCCTCGATGAAGCTTATGCTGACGCTGAGAAGCCAGGATGGCGCGAGCTGCAAAGCCAATCCATGTCGCTGCAAGCGCTCGAAGAAGGTCTCGCCTTCCAGCACAGCTCGGGCAGCTGCTGCTCGCAGCTTCAGCTCTAAGTCACCACCCTGGGAATCTGCCGAAACGACGCTTCCGATCTGGCGCTCGGGTAAGTCTACCAGAACTGCGGCAGCAGTCTCGGCCAGACCCTCTTCGTTCATCCAGTGATGTCGGTCATCTTGCAGTAGCCTGACGGATCCAGAGGCAGTGATGAAAGCGGATCGCGTAATGACCTGATACGACGATACGGGCGATACCTCGAAAGGCGCAGCGAGAATGTCCCCATTCAGATCATGATCGAACTGAAAGCTAAACCCAGTGATCTGGCCCTGCCCGCCGGGATCTTTCGAGTCGAGCCAGTAGACGTGGAAATTTACCAACTGTTGAGAAGCTTGGAAGAATAGTCTGTTCACATATGCTGACCCCTGCTTGTCCACTGTACCGCTGTATACAGCATCACGAGCATCTTCCTCGAATTCCCAGCGGGAGTAGAGCGCAGCTTTGCCTTGCTTTGATCCTTCATTGCCCTGAGCATGATCGACGCGGATAACCTCTGCTTTTCCATCTTCCCTGATGGCGACGAGCACGCCACGCTCACCGAGATTGACTTCTCGCAAGGCAACAAAATTACTTGAGAGGGCCTTGAGAGTGAGGACGTTGGGAGCCTGCCTCGCTTGAATAGCAGGAGCAGCGTCATCAGGTGGAGATTCAAGACCGACTGGCCACGAGACGGCTTTGATCGTTCCATCCTTGTGTACCCAGACCAGATGAGGCTGGAGGGGAGGCTTCTGTCCCGCGGGCGTTACTTCGCTTCCTTGGCGTGGTCGAGTAGCAGCAAGGTTGACCAGTGCAATGTTCGCAGCACCACCGGTTGTGGCTTTGCCGCCATAGCCAGCCAAGGGACCAACGGGGGCGATGGCTGCGCCTACATCCTGAATATCCAACAGCTTTCCATCGGTCAGCGAGAGCGTGTATATGCGCACATCGAAGCCCGTAGGCTCTTTTGAGCCAATCAAAGGGAGGGTGGAATAGGTTGGAGCCAGAGAGACGACGTGCACGGCTGCTTCACTTGCCAACACGCGAACAAGCGTGCGATCCCTCGTACTGGTGGAGATGGAGGCGCAGGTATAAGCATAGCCTGCCTAACCAGAGACACTCCCATCCACACTGACTCACACCTCGACTTCACTCCATCTCCACCGCTGTTGACCCGTAGTCCCATCAAGCCTCCGAACGCGTTTGGCCCCATCTAGGACAATGATGTCGCCGGCAGGAAAGCCAGGTGCTACAAAAGAAGCATCGCAGCCTGGACCGGCCCACGGGGGGACGCTATCGTGGGAAGCGGATGAGGTACTAGGATCGGACTGATCAGTAAGCGAAAGAAGCTGAGACCATTCTAAGCGGCCTGTCAGAGCGTTGTGCACCGTGGCTCTCGTAGCGCCATGGCCAGTCAAGTACAATGCGACTGTACAGGAATGCGGAAGGACGCGAGGCGTCAGGGGCTCAGTGGGTGACTATATGCTGTCACTTTGCACGCTCTCTATTCGCCGGCTCACCATCAGCGCTGAGCCAGAACCCTTGCACAGGGTCTGTATCATTGACCACTCTTCTCCACACAATATCTCCATTTCTGGGATTTAGCGCTCCAAATCCGCCCTGTTCTGATGCGACGAACAGCGCGGTGTTGGTCTTCTTCGACTTGTCCTCGTCGGCTCTGATGATACGATGGAAACGCGGGGTGAGGAATTGAGAGGCTGATGTGAGCGAAGATAATTTGGGAACGCCGATTCGGGGAATGTGATAGGTGGGATCTGGATTGGGTGCGACTGCTGCGGAGACTGTGGATAGAGAAGCGAGAGCCCAGTAGCAAGCAGCTACGAGGCTGATCGAAACCTGCAACCGCATTCTGAGTGAGAGACAAGCAATCTGCCTGCTCGTTGGTGGGATGTTTGGTGAAGGTCAAGAAGAGTAATAAGTGCAGGTCACAGTGTATCCGCTGAGGAAGCTGTCATTATTCACCATTCCACCATGGCCGCGGAGGACGCGCTGTCTGCTCTGCATGCTGCATGGCTGGTGCGCGCTGTTCCGCCGCGCACGGATGTTCGATTCGCGCCACGAGACGAGATCGACCAGGCAGCCGGTCCAGTACGGTAGACCATTCGTGACTGCATGGCGCTTCTCGCTTACATCGTCAAAGCAGTCCCAAGCAGCGACATGTACATCAGGAGCACAGCCCAGACACCATCCCCATCAACGCTGTCTCCGATACGTCGCTCCGAGCTAGCATGGTAAAGCGCACAAGAAGTTGCTTTCGAACTCTACAAATACACGCATCGAGGGGTGAGTTGGAGGCCGAGTCTGAGTGCAGTCCCACGTCTCAAGGTTCCTCGGGCGTCTCCCTACGGAAGCTGGGTGGTTCAAGGAGGCGCTGCATGTCAGTAGGGGATGGACGGGTAGTTGACACTGATGGTGCAATGCCAAGAGCCAACGCCATACTCACTACATGTCTATAGCACCCGAAAATGCTGCGAACGCGACTCCACCACCGACCATTGCTTTCGGACCACTGTTCCGAGCGAGCACAGCTCCCGCAAAGAAACCTCCCCATATCGCATTGTGAATGTCATTCTTTGCTCTGTACTGGAGGCGCACGAGCAATGTGGGAAATTCATCAGCTCCACCAGTGCGCACCACGCTCGCAGTCGGCATGCAGCGTCAATTACTGCCCTTGCTCTACTCACACCTTCGATCACGCATTCGATGCCCGAGTACAGCGCTCCCACCTTCCCGAAACCCTTGGCCGATCTATACATGCCCTTTCCGGTCTCTTTGAAGAACAATTTGGTCTGTTGGCCTGTAGTCAATTCAGGCTGAGGGGCGCCACCAGCGGTCAGATTCGCCGCCATCATGTTGGAACGTCGAAGGGGGTCATCGATGGCAAAAGAGGCCGACAAGAGAGAAAAGAAACCTCCCAGCGCGAACCCTGCTGCTCCGCTCATGGCGCACTTGACCGGACAGGATTCCATCGCCATCGATGCTCTTTTTGTCCATAGTTGCATTTGAGCCATTTGGTCGATCTGTTCTTGTGTCGTGCCAGCTGGCATTGGTTCTTGCCCTGGAAGGTAGATGGGCGCAACCATCGGCATCTTGGCTGACATGCTTGCGACAACGACACAGCCTAGCTGCTTCTATGCGTCGATTGACCACGTGTTCTTCTCCAGCTGAACATTGTGATCAGCAAGACTTCAACTTTAGTACGCGCGCACATGTGCATCGACTGTTCCGCTCATCGCCAGATACCCACCTCGCTATCCAGCTCTATCCTCATCCACTCCACCTTGTCGGTGGATATGAGCAGATGCGTCTCGTCCAAATCCTGCAAAAGCAGATGGCGCAGATCAGTCGCGAGTCGATGTGGCTCAGCGAGAGCATTGCTCGCACCTGTATGACAAAGCGCACCCTGTCGTAACAAGCGCAAAGGTTTCGTCAGCTGTCCTGCGCCTCGTGCTGTGTGACCGCTCCGAGCGCACCTTTCGTTGATAGCAAGGATAAGCTGCTTGACAGCTGGGTCACTGATAAGCGCAAGCGGAGGAGTGTGGTGTGAAGTTCAGCACACGCTCTGAAGTGAGGTTCGAAGTCCTGGGTAACAATCACTGACCAAGTCAAGAGAGAGCCCTTGATGGCCTTCATGTATCTCCTGCTTGGTGAGCAGTGAGAGGCAAAGCACTGAGAAAGGTTGCGATGGCTCGGCTGACTGCAGCGGGGGCGCTGTCTGACGAGTCAAGTCTGCGCTTGTAAGAGGTACAATCGTGAATGCTGGTGAGCATATCCTTTGATGTACTTCGTCTCGGTAATCGTGAATCTGCCCGCGGGAGTGGTGGGAACTCACCTCGCGCGCGGTAGAACCCAAAAAAAAATAAGCGGGTCACGTGATCCATCAAAGCGCTAATTCATTCACATTCAGATTGGTAACCGCCAGCGATGGTGAGCAGGGTAGCGCGATCTTGGTATCCTGTGAATATGCCGCTCTTGACTAGATATCGGCTCGGAGAGTACGTGCGTGTCACAGCAGTAATGCTTGTTGGACCAGCGGTCAATTCCAACATACAAATACAGGTGTGAATGAACGAGCGAGAGCGACGTCATCGAAGTAGGGCCAAAAAGGGGAGAGCGTAAGGGCAAAGCTCGGTTCGATAGAATAGGCTAGGTGAGATCAGTGGTGATTCGCTGAGCTGGGAGCGGCGACAGGTGTAGCGCCTTGAGCAGTCGATTGGCATGTCTCGTTCAGAGATTCGGGAGGAGGACACCACGCGTCAGGTACGAGCAAGAAGGAGGAGCTCATGAAGGTGAGGAAACGTTGCCGATAGAGCGCTGGCGTGATGACCGTTGGCGTGGCCTTGGAAACACCAAGCGCTGATGCCTCTTTCAGCCAGGTCTCGGCCTGAAGGAAGTAAGATAGATGAGGACAAGATCTTTGCGGTATACGAGCCGAGCAGAGGCATGCTACTCACTTTCTTGTCCCAGGTGTACGTGCGCACGTAGTCAATGATTCCGCATACGAACTCTTTGCGTTCCTTGTCGAGCCCTACTACCAAGCTGTAGTCCATGACGTTTTGGCTTTCTAGCCACAGACTATCATTTCGTAGTGCCTGCAATAGTAGACTCTTGCTATCTTCGCGCACAAAGAGGGGAGACTTATTGGCCATCTCTACAAGATTCTCATCGAGCAACACCTCATCAGCACGGCCCGTCTCGCGGATGTGTCTATTCCGAAGCGAGCCCTTGAGGTCAAATATCTTCGTGAGTTGACGACCATAGAAAAGGTTCTCTATGACCAGGCAGTCCAGCTTGATGGACTTCCCCGTTTGGGTGTTGCGAATGGATATCCGGAAGCAGCCAAAAATCTTACCCAGCGTTGTGGGCCGTCCGCCGAAGATCGCATCGGCCATGTATTGGCAGTAACCGGTAGCGCCGCTCAAGAATGCTTCCATCTCGGCACGGGAGATTTCCTTGATCACAAAGCGGTCGTCCTGATAAAATCGCGCGGTGGTCAGCTCGGGTCCGCCCTTTCGGTGGAGACGGTGTACTCACTTTGGTCTTCAAGAATGCTGCTCCGCTCTTGCCACCAGAGCTGTCCCATTTGACACATCGACTCAAACTTTGGATGAAGCTGAGTTCGCAGTCGCATGCCTTGCGCAGAGCATCAAATTGTTCGGCGAACAGTGTGCGGATGTGGAATTTGCAGCCACCGCTGTTGAATTCAAACCTTAAATGGATGCCTTCCGGCTCCCGCAGCTGTAGCTCGAGACCTCGATCAGCAGCTCGAGTCTTCTCGTAGTCGAGGCTGCCTTCACCATCAAAAGGCTCGATCGCATTTCTTGATGGGGATTCAGCGTGTGAAGCGCGTAGCGTTCGCAGACGATGCTGATACGTGGAGGAGCTTAATGTAAACTAGAACCGACCAGCAGGCTGTTAGTAGTTTCGGACACGATCATGTTCCCCCACCGCGTGCCACTTACTGCAATAAGCGACGAGGGCTCATCCTCTCGCAGGACTACGCCGCTGTCGGCAAAGAAATGTTCAGAAGATGCAATCGGATAGTCTAACAAAGGTAAAGCCCGTCCTCTGCCCCAAAGTGATGATAAGGTCTTCAGCAGGGAGCCCGTCGCACCGCGCTCGTCTGTCGCATCGGCCATCAAGCTTTGGCGCCAAGAGCGACCAAGGGTCATTGCAGCGCTTGCAGGAGGGTCTGGGCTAGGTGAAGGGAGCGCGAGTGGTGTGTTCGTTCCGTGAGACCCCGGTGCGCTTACAGGGATTGCGCAAGCAGGCGCGATCGCCTCGAGGGGCGAGGGCGGGCAGACAGTCGGAGGACCACTTTGAGATGTGAGGGTGAGATCGGGCGCCGTAATTTGCTGAGTGATGGTCCCATTGGAGGCGTCCTTGCGCACACTTGCCCGCCGCAATCGTGATCGATCCGCATCGGAGTCGTCTTCATCCTCAGCTTCGCCACCCGATGCATTGGCGTCTGTGCCCTGCTCGGTTGCTCCCGTTGCTGAAACTTCATCTTCGTCACTGCTATCGTCGTCTTGAACTGCTTCTAGCACGTTAGAGAAAACCTCCACGCGAGCGTGTGTGGCAGCGACTGGCTGTGCTCTACGGGCTCGAATAGCGAGGACCCGTTGTTGACGCTCGCGTTCTCGCTCTGCCTCGCGATTGATCTTGTCAAAATGACGGGCGATGGTCGAAACACGCGACCTAGGTCCGTTAGCAGGCGTCCCGCGGCGCAAAACCGGAGATGCAAGGGGCCGGCGAGTGCTACTATTCGCAGAAGCAGGAGCAGCAGCACCTGCTTGGCGTATCTTGCCACTCGAGCCCTTGCGCTGGAGGATTGTTCGCGTGACCTTGCCATCTCTAACGTCATCAGTTTCGCTCTCCGATCGCACCGGAATTCTTGAGACTGCAAGACGTTTTACCGCTGTGCTGGTGTCCGATTCTGGCTCGCTCACTTTCGGCGGCCGATAACTACTCGGCGGGCCACGTCGAGCCACAAAACGACGACTTGAAGGCACTGTGGGGCTGTAAGACGGAGATGGCGCGCTTGCTGTTTTGGAAGGTCCACTGAGTGTCGAGAGAAGTTGGCTACGATCTGCACTTTGGGCGATCATCCTATCTTTCCGAGAAGTAGTAGTGCTGGTGAGTCTGACAGATGTCTCATTATCTGACAACACCCTCTCCGGACTGCGCGGTTTAGAGGGAGATACTTCGCATTGCTGATGCGTCCCCGCTGTTGTATCGTCCGTCTTGCCCCTTCGTAGGATAGGCCTTCTTGCTGACGCGTCGGACTGGCTGCCGAGCGTCGATTCAATGCGTGGCCGCGGCGCTTCCAAGCGACGCACAAATTTGCGAACAGCACCGCCGTCAGGTTCTGCTTCTGTGCAAGAGCTCTCTTCAGCGGTTCGTTCTTGGAGTCGACGCCGGCGCCAAGTTGCAGGCGAGCTCAAAGCTGTGATCGTCGTCGTCTCTGGGTTTGCACCAGGCGCCTTTCGAACTGGGGCATCACCACTCGTAGAGATGCGATCGTCTGCCGACAAGGCATCTGAGGGCGTAAGTCTATCCGAGGACAAGGCGCTCGATGAGGTGATAGAGCTGGGAGGCGCCGATGTATGGCCTATCGGCAGAGCGGCGGTCAAGGGAGCAGGTGTATTCGTGCTTTCTGGGGTCGTGTCAGGTGATCCCTTTTGCTGCGGCGGCAATCCTTCGACTTCCGAGTCCCGGCCGCTTCCAATATTAGACTCGTCAGCCTCCGCAGCAGGCGGCAGTGGCGTACTGCCATCCGCGCCACCTGTTACGGGCTCTCGCTCGGCGAACATGCGCGAAAGGCCAGAGGTCGTCAAACGTCTGGCATCTCGCTCCGCCGCAAGATTCTCGCGTTCAAATCGTTCAAATTCGCGATCCCAACGGACGACCACCTCCTGCAGTCGCCGCCGCACAATACTGAGACCCAAGACGTCCGTGGGCTGGGTCTCGGCGCACGCGCGCGTCAGAGCTAACATGAGCTCTCCAGCATCACGATCTGCTTGCGTGCCCATCTGGTCAAGAAGCAGAGCGCTGGCAGTAACGGCAGCCTGGTCACGGCAAAGGCCTGCCTCGTATCGCAGAGCAAGGATGCGAGCTCCGACACTTTCAAAGTAGGCCGCCGTTCGACAAGCGAGGATTGATGCTTCCTCACTCTTCAAACGGCCTTCGACATCAGGCCGCGAGAGCAGGTGCAAAGGTGGAAGGGAAACGTCGCGGACTTCGACCGGGTCGGTGTGAAAGCGCACGGCCAGATTTTGCAGGGCAAAGAATTGAACGTGGTCGTCGAAGAAGTCGTGTCCACACGTTGCCCGCTTACTATTCGGGCCAGCACTGCAGTGCAGCTCGAGGTACTTGGAAAATGATAGGCAAAGTGTGTCTGATGACACTTGCGCCACTGGCGAAGCTTGCTCGCACCGTTTGCAGTAGGACCACATCAGCACTTTGCTCTCCTGTCCCGGGATTGGGCAGACGAAACGCTCTAGGACTACCAGAACACGCCTTTCGTTGTGCACCCAGACATTGAAGTGCGCGAGACGTGGTCGCCCACATCCCTTGGCAGGGCACGTTGATCCGCTCTCGGCGACCATACGCTCGAGTTTGCTGCCCAATGTGTCGTCGCCTTTGCTGTAAAGCTCAACGGCTCTGAGGGCGGGACCTTCACATGGACGCTGAGTCGTGGAGGACATTGAGGAGGCGAGGAACACGAGGTGTCGCGCTGATGGCAGCAAGGGCAATGGCTGCTGCTGCTTTGCATAGAGCGCGCCCCACGCCATTTCTGCCGCATTACGCTGGAACACGGCCAGGCGATAGGCCGTCTCCTCCGTCAGGTACGAAGGTTGAGGGAGGACCTCTGCGAGGCCTGCCACTTGTACTTTTGAGGTGAGTGCATCGGTCATCCAGGGAAAGGAAGACTGTATCTCTGCGCGCGCATCGGTGGGTGTCTGTGCATTCACAGTCTTCTGATCGTTCTCGGTCGTTTGTGCAGACTCATCGAGAGGGCTGTCTACCTCTCGGGTCGGAAGCACATCTGCTTGAAATCCTTCTGACGCCAACCTAGATCGAGGAGTGCCCAGTGTATCACTACTGCCAGATGCCGCCACCTCGGCGTAGGACTTAGATGCCTTGCGTGGAGTGCCAGCACTGGCTCGGGGCTCAGTAGCGGAAATGCGAGCCGCTCTTTCGTCCGCTATGAGACTCCTATCTGCCTTTTCTTGGCGCTCATGTATTAGCTCATGCAGGCGCTCATGGGCCTGCTTCAGCTTGACGAGAGGATACGGAGGCGGAACATGCAGGAAAGCACTTGCGCTCCCCAAGTGACTTTCGTACGGACGCATCAGCTTGCGAATGCGTTTATCTGCGGGCTCCGATCGATCCGCGTGTCCCATCTTCTTGGCATCCTCGTCGTTGTTCCCCACATCTTGGATGGTGGTTGCTTCGTCGCGTGCCAGGCAATCTTCGAGCCTAAGGTTGTGGGCTACAAAGATGCAGGAGTCCAAGACGGACTTGACGCGACCGAGAAGTGACATGCTGCCTCCTCTGAGCACGATTGTGGCCACTGAACCCCCTTGCGAGGCGCCGCTAACCACGTCGACAGTGGTTGACGGATCGCGCATAAAGTTAGGAGCGAGAAATTTCATGAACGACTTGCGGGCGCTTGGGAGAAGAGCATGGGAGTATGTATCGACGCTCAGACTTGCGCAGCGTCCGACGCGCGGGTCCAGACCAAGACGGTCGACAGACGTGATGATGTCAGCGTTGCAGCATCGAGCAATCGCCTCCAGAGCCGTCTGCTTGACACTCCAGACGACAACAACGCCAGCACCCTAAGAAGCAGGGGAAAAGTCAGATAAGGGCGGAGTCATGGACCCAGCCGTCATTCGTTTGAGCTCCGTCGACTCACTTCGAGCATTGCTATCGCTTGACGCGAGCAAGAATCGCGGATCACCACAAGATTCGGGCGCAGCTGCACGATGCGCGCGACGAGAATCCTTGTATATTCTTTCTCCTGCTCGGCGCGATCGAGGGTGAATAGACCGCTCGATACATGGTCCATGCGGAATGCCAGCAGCATCACTCTTGGCTTGAGCAAAGGCAACCGACTTGCCATGCGCTTCGTGGCGACATGCTTCGACAGGACCACTCCAGGGACGTATGCCGACTCTTGCGGCTCCCCTCCAGCAATCCTTTTAATCTTGACATAGGCACGGACATCGGCCGACTCTCCAGCCCGGGGCCGTGGGCGCACCTTGGCGCACACCGACAAAATCAAGGGCAGCAGCACGCGCTCCCAATCTTGGTTTCCTCCGCCGAGCTTCGCCTGCCTGAGAGACTGCTTCAAGAATTTCACTAGATGTGCAAGAGCGTGCGGCCCTAGACCGTGTGAGGGCAGTGCGTCTTGTTGACCGCCAAGAAGGCTCTGATGGCGCGAATGTCCAACTGCGCTCGGGCATGGAATGCCAGGCTCTCCGTGGCCTTTGGCACGGTCTACATCTTCGACAGTCACGCGGCTGCGGAGCCGAGATCTGCGAATCGCGCGAAGAGCGGCATCGCTCACGAGCCTCGCACGCGGGTCCGCGTGCCCTCCGAGTTCGCTCGCCAATCGAGTCCTAGTGTGGCTATGTATAGATGCGCCAGTGTCTGAACGAGCGTCGTCGCCGTCGTCCTCCGCTGATTGAGTTGGAAATGCGATGAGGGGTAGGCTGCGTGGCAAGCCCGACTTGCCGACTTGAGGGGCCCCATCTGGTGTTGACGCAGCCGCGTCTCGAGGAGAGGAAGCGTCGACTACCACCCCATTCGACTCGGCGGGATCTGTCTCTTCATCGGGAGCGACGGCAATCTGATCGTCGTCTGCAAGAGCTTTGCGAAAAGGAGCTGCGGAGCTTATTTGAGACATGCCGGTACGAGAGACGGGAGCATCCGGGTCTACAGCGATCAGATCAGGCGACGCGGCGCGGCTGTCCCAACCAAAGTCATCAGGCCCAAATCCAGCCAAACCACCTATGCTTAGGGTGCTGGGAAGACCTCTTGTTCTTGAGAACAGTGCGTTGGCAGCGAACTGGGCTTGCGGGCTTTTGCTCGATGCTTCAAGAGGAGCGCTAATATCGGACTTTTCTAAAGCGGAGGCCGAAGGACTCGGCACGAGACGAGCAGGTTTGGAGCTGGGAGCGGTATCTCGAAGAAGCCTGACACAGTCATTGCACGTTCTCGCCCTTGGACCAGGAAGACCGTTTGCTTGGCGTGTGGGAAGCATGTTGCTGGCACACGAGGCACAGAACACCAAAAAGCAGGTGCGACAGTGATGTCTCCTTCGCCAGGTGCTGAATGGTACACCGCAACCACCACACGCGGTGGCATGCTTATCTGGCAACCAGAATCGTCGATCACTCCCTGGGTCCGTCTCCCGAAGGCGCCGAATGGCCTCGGCAGAAGAGGGCGCTGCTGACGCTCGTGCACCAGTTGCAGAAGTTGAGGCGAGATGGGGCATTGCGAAAGATGGAGAGTCGATTTCGGATCGAGGCCTGGACGACGTGCTCCTGATCGAGCGCGCGTCGTCTGCTAGGAGATCCCTGGGCAGCGGGAAGCCGGGCACCGCGCCCCAAGGCGAAGGACGAGCAGCAGAATTTAGGGCTCCCAAGCTGTCTTCGTCGACTTCTCCAGACCGGGAAGCACTGGTAGGTGTGATGGGTTGCGCGTGCGCCGCAGTCGTGCTCGTGAGTGCGGAGGCAGGCGCGGGGCGCAATGAAAAGGGCGGGGCAAGACCCAATTTGGAGGAGCCCGGTCTGAGGGTGGATTTTGTGACGCGCGTCTGGGAAGAGCTGGCTTGACTTAGCCCACTGATGTGCTGCTTGGTGCCAGTCGCTGATCTCGAAGTCGATGCGCTGGCTGGCCAAATCTCGCTTCGAGCGTCCCCTCCGACGCTAGCTTTTCGTACGTGGGGTCCCACGGCTGCTGGTCGAGAAGCGGCCGGACCCCCATCTAGACGGTCAATGCAGCCGCCAAGTGATGCGGATGCCATTGTCGACGCTTCCGGGTCCTGTAGCGAAGGTGCGACCGGCGCGGCGCCATTACTGGTGAGAGAGCTTGTTGCTGCCTGATACGCTGAACCAGTCAGCGCGGTTCTGACCCGCGACAGCAAGCCCCATGGAGCGAACGACGACTCGTGATCTTCGCTCCCATCGTCGGAGAGAAAGTTGAAAGATGTCAATTGCTGCTCTTGACCGCCGTTGCCTTCCACCATTTCGGTCTCGGGATGTGGAGGCGATGTGCCACATACCCGCTCTGACAGATGACTGCCATCCGGCAAGGCGTTATGAGGGGCAGCCATATCCGCGCAACATTCCTCGTTTACTCTGATGAGCGAGAGCTGCTGCGGAGTCTGCTGTATGTGAGTCTGATGACGGAGTCAAACTGAGCGAGCATGTCCGTTCATTGAAGGTTGTGGAGAGGGGTTATGTGTATGCGCGTCGTGCCTCCTGACTGAGCAGGCATCCCAGCTGCATGCTTTCCAGAGAAATCACCTCCCGCCAATATCACGTGACTGGTTCCGCGCCGAAGGTCTGCCCAGCGGTCGCACCTCGTGCCGCGCGCATATATAAACTAAGATCAGACAAAAGCAAGTCTGACGCTGGTCCCGACCTCCATCTCCGTCTTCACTTGCCGCACCCCACACCACAAGCCCCATCGTCTCTCGATCACTCGCCGCTGCAGAGCTTTTGGTGACTGGTGGCGCTTGTGGCAGTGCAAGCCGGTCACACTCGTGCCTTCATCCACCCACCCAACTTCTCGCACGCAGACCCATCCACTCCTGGCTTGTCAGCCTCGAAGCCGGCTTCGTTCGTCTCGTCCAGGAAACCGGACGGCTTGGAGCACGACACCATCCCGAACCATCGCTTGTCAGATCCTTTCGCCGCGCGAATCACGAGCACTGGTGAAGTTCTTGGAAGAGGCAGTCATACGGGCACATTGGCATCTCCCAGCTCTGGATAAGCGTCATCTGCCCTCGACTTGACCAGCTGAACCATGGTGCAAGCAGGTGTTGCTCTTCCTGGAGGGCGCAGTGGCAACGATGGAGCCGGCGGCAGTCGTGGAGGTGCGGATGGAAAGGGCAAGTCATCTACAGGAGGCGTTGACAAAGTGGACGACGTTACGGTGATCGAACAGAGACTCATGAGCAAACATGGCATCTTGCCAACTCTGCAGTGAGTGCGCACGGGCGGAAAGTGCTTGAAGTCGAGGAGCGCATCGTGCGCCAACATCAAGGCAGAGTGACTGGAATCGAAAGGAGCTCGCGGGCTCACTGGGAGCGCGAGTGCCATTGGCGTTGAGCAATGCGTCCACGCTCGTGCATGCTCGGATAGTCACGTACTTACACCCACTCGTCTGTCTTGGCTCCCTCAGGAACATTGTAGCTACGGTGAATCTTGACGTCAAGCTCGATCTCAAGACCATTGCCCTCCACGCACGCAATGCCGAGTACAATCCCAAGGTACGTCCTTGCGCGAATGTGGCACAGCCATTCCAGCATCGGCGTCATTGACGTGGACGCTCGCCATTCGATCAGCGATTTGCTGCTGTCATTATGCGTATTCGCGAGCCAAAGACCACGGCGCTTATCTTTGCAAGCGGCAAGATGGTCGTCACTGGTGCCAAGTCGGAGGAGGATAGTCGTCTGGCAAGCCGCAAGTATGCACGTATCATTCAAAAACTCGGCTTCGAGGCCAAATTCTCCGAATTCAAGATACAAAATATCGTTGGCAGGTGAGGCCTGGCTCCACACGTCACGGTTGGTACGAGGCCGCTGACCACCAGGACGAATATTCTTCAGCTGCGACGTAAGATTCCCAATTCGTCTCGAGGGCTTGGCGTATGCCCACGGTCCTTTCTCGTCCTACGAACCAGAGGTAGGTATTGGCCAAAATTACCTTGAAATGCCGCGCTATGCTCACTCTGCCTCCGCGTAGCTTTTTCCCGGCCTCATTTACCGCATGGTCAATCCTAAAGTGGTGCTGCTGATCTTTGTCAGCGGCAAGATCGTGCTCACAGGTGCCAAGGTGAGCGAGCGACCCCATGGCTTTGTTCCCAACGGACATTGTCGTTGACAAGTGGAGACAAATTCTAGGTCCGCGAGGAGATCTACAGCGCTTTTGAGAAGATCCTTCCTGTACTCGCCGAGTACAAGAAACCATAACTCTGCGCTTCCACGCTACACGCCAGCGCGTGCATATACAGGTTTCTGTTGAGCCCAAGAGCTTCGCTCACTTGGTCACACCCATAAATCCAGTCCCATCTCGTCTCGCTTTCCGACGCAAGTCTGACACTCTAAAGCCAAAGCGAGATCCTCGCACAGCATTTTTCTGTACTCCAGCCAACTGTCTCGGCAATCCATCATTTTACGCGGACTGTAGGGAGCTTCATTTGGACGGAGTCACGCACAAGGGGCTTACAGCACGTTGGTGAGCTAGGACTAGTGCGCATCGTCCCCATTGACACACATCTCCAGAACAGAAGTGGAGTAACTTATTGTATTGCGAATGGAAGGACGACGACCAGTAGTTTGCCACGGTGAGCTAGGCGGGTTGACGTTGCGCT